CTGAACATAATACTACACAAACATTAGATGTTGCCATGGTTTAATTGCACATAACATGTAAACATTCACAGTGCAGGGAGGAAAAAGTATGTGAGGCCCTAGCTTAATGACTTCTCCCAGAGCTAATTGGAGCCAGGAGTGAGCCAACCTTGACTCCAATCAGTGTGATGATATTGGATGTGTTGCTGACAGCTGTCCTGCCCTTAAAAAACACACACCTGTTTTGGGTTTACTGGTTTCAAGAAGAACTGTCTGATGTGAACCATGTCTCACAGAAAAGAGCTCTCAGAAGACCTACGATCAAGAATTGTTGACTTGCATGAAGCTGGAAAGGGTTACAAAAGTATCTCCAAAAGCCTTGATGTTCATGTGTCCACGGTAAGACAGACTGTCTACAAATGGAGAAAATTTAGCACTGTTGCTACTCTCCCTAGGCATGGTCGTCCTGTAAAAATGACTGCAAGAGCACAGCGCAGAATGCTGCATGAGGTAAAGAAGAATCCCAGAGTGTCAGCTAAAGACCTACAGAAATCTCTGGCACATGCTAACATTTTTGTTGACACATCTACAGTAAGGAAAACATTAAACAAGAATGGAGTACATGGGAGGACACCACGGAGGAAGCCATTGTAGTCCAAAAAGAATATTGCAGCACGTTTGAAGTCTGCAAAAGAGCACCTGGATGTTCCACAGCACTACTGGCAAAATATACTGTGGACAGATGAAACCAAGATTGAGTTGTTTGGGAAGAACACACAACACTATGTGTGGAGAAAAAAAGGCCCAGCACACCAACATCAAAACCTCATCCCCACTGTAAAACATGGCGGAGGGAGCATCATGGTTTGGGGCTGCTTTGCTGCCTCAGGGCCTGGACGGATTGTTGTCATTGATGGGAATATGAATTCCAGAGTTTATCAAGACATTTTGCAGAAAAACGTACGACCATCTGTCCGCCAACTGAAGCTCCGCAGAGGATGGGTGATGCAACAGGACAATGACTCAAAGTATACAAGTAATTCAACAAAACAATGGCTGCAACAGCACAGAATACGCCTTCTGGAGTGGCCCAGTCAGAGTCCTGACCTCAACTCGATTGAAATGCTGTGGCATGACCTTAAGAGAGCGATTCACACCAGACATCCCAAGAATATTGCTACACTGAAACAGCTTTGTGAAGAGGAGTGGTCCAAAATTACTCCAGATCGTTGTGCAGGTCTGATCTGCAACTACAGGAAACGTTTGGTTGAGGTTATTGCTGCCAAAGGAGGGTCAACCAGTTATTAAGTCCAAAGGTTCACATACTTTTTCCTCCCTGCACTGTGAATGTTTACATGTTATGTGCAATTAAACCATGGCAACATCTAATGTTTGTGTAGTATTATGTTCAGCAGACTGTGTTCTTCTATTGTTGTGACTTAGATGACGTTCAGAGCACATTTTATGCCCAATTCATGCAAAACTCCACGTAATCCCAAGGGGTTCACATACTTTTTCTTGCAACTGTACACTATATTGCCAAAAATATTAGGACACCTGCCTTTACATGTGCATGAACTTTAATGGCATCCCAGCCTTAGTCCATAGGGTTCAATATTGAGTTGGCCCACCCTTTGCAGCTATAACAGCTTCAACTCTTCTGGGAAGGCCATCCACAAGGTTTAGGAGGGTGTCTATGGGAAGGTTTGACCATTCTTCCAGAAGTGCATTTGTGAGGTTAGGCACTGATGTCGGGGGAGGAGGCCTGGCTCGCAGTCTCTGCTCTAATTCATCCCAAAGGTGTTCTATTGGGTTGAGGTCAGGACTCAGTCAAGTTCCTCCACCCCAAAGTCGCTCATCCATGTCTTTATGAACCTTGCTTTGTGCACTGGTGCGCAGTCATGTTGGAATAGAAAAGGGCCATCCCCAAACTGTTCCCACAAAGTTGGGAGCATAAAATTGTCCGAAATGTCTTGGTATGCTGATGCCTTAAGGGTTCCCTTCACTGGAACTAAGGGGCCAAGCCCAACCCCTGAAAACAACCCCACGCCATAATCCCACCTCCACCAAACTTTACACTTGGCACAATGCAGTTAAGACAGTATTCTCCTGGCAACTGCCAAACTCAGACACGTCCATCAGATTGTAGACAGAGAAGCATGATTTGTTACTCCAGAGAACACGTCTCCACTGCTCTAGAGTCCATTGGCAGTGTGCTTTACACCTCTGCAACTGAAGCTTTGTATTGCACTTGGTGATGTAAGGCTTGGATGCAGCTGCTCGGCCATGGAAACCCATTCCATGAAGCTCTCTACGCACTGTTGTGCTAATCTGAAGGCAACATGAAGTTTGGAGGTCTTTAGCTTTTGACTCTGCAGACAGTTGGCGACTTCTGCACACTATGCGCTTCAGCATGCGCTGACCCCGCTCTTTCATTTTACGTGGCCTACCACTTGGTGGCTGAGTTGCTGTTGTTCCCAGTTGCTTCCACTTTGTTATAATCCCACTAACAATTGACTGTGGAATATTTAGTAGCAAGGAAATGTCACAGATGGACTTATTGCACAGGTGGCAACCTATCACGGTACCACGCTTGAATTCACTGAGCTCCTGAGAGCGACCCATTCTTTCACAAATGTTTGTAGAAGCAGTCTGCAGGTGATTGGAACACCTGAATCCAATGACTTGGAGGGGTGTCCCAATACTTTTGGCAATATAGTGTATGTACAGTACATTCACATTAGTCTTTGCCCCCAAGGAGCTTGCAGTCTAAGTTCCCTAACTCACATTCATACATATATTAGGGCCAATTTAGACAGGAGCCAATTACCAGCATGTCTTTGGCGTGTGGGAGGAAACCACAGTACCTGGAGGAAGCCTACACAGGCACAGGAAGAACACACAAACTCCAAGTAGGTATTGCGATGATTGAGATTTTCAAATCAATGACCCTAGGGCTACCAGGCAGAAGTGATAACACTTAGCCACTTTGCTGTCTAAAACAGGCCAAACATTGATTTCTCTTGGCTTCAAATCTTTCTGAGTCCTTTCAAGTCATCATTATATTGTTCATGCTAGGTGACAGAACAAACCACTCAACCCTACCAATGGAGGACGCTAGCCAGCAGAAGAAACCACCTGCATTGTAGCAGTAGAAAGATGCTAGTTGGCTTTCTTAGGATGCCACAAGTGTCCTAGGAATGGAGAAAGCTAGGTGACAAAAGATACATGTGTCCTAGAATTGGAAGACGTTAGACAGCTTCCTTGAGCAGAAGATACCTGCTTCCTAGCAACAGAAGAATGTTAGGTGACTTCCTTGAGAAGCTGCCTAAATCCTAGCAATGGAGGATGCTGGGTGGCTATGGACACCTGCAATCCAAGCAATAGAGGACGTAAAGTAGCTTCCTTGAGGATGACTTCCTAGCAACGGAAGGGCGCTAGGTGCCTGCTTCAAAGAAATGGAAGATGCTAAGTGGCAATAGACACCTGAATCCAATAAACAGATAACACTAGCTGGCTTTCTTAAGAAGCTACCTGCATCCTAGTAATGGGGGATGCTAGGCAGCAGAAGAAACCACCTGCAACATAGCAATGGAAGGACCATAACTGGGTTTCTCAAGATGCTGCCAATGTCCTAGGAATGGAGACTACTAGGTGACAGTAGATGCCTGTGTCCTAGAAATGAAGAAGCTACCTGCTTCCTAGTAACAAAAGAAACTTAGGTGGCTTCCTTGAGAAGCTGCCTAAATCCTAGCATGGAGGATGCTAGGCGGCAATAAATGCCTGCATTCAAAATAACAATGGACGCTAATCAGCTTCCTTGAGAAGGACGCAGGGAGCTTTCTCAAGAAGCTACCCATGTCCTAACAATGGGGCAATTTAGGCTACAACACTGAACACATTTACACTTTGCCTAAATGTTACATGTGTACAGCTTACAGAGCACTTTTTACTCCGTACCTTGTTACTAGTTTCTGCCAGCAAGATCCTGCATACTAGTTGCTATATTTTCTTACGGGAATGCACATGAGCCCTATACTCTACAGGCAACCTATACCAGTCAATACAACATAGAGGTAGACCCCCCAAGAAACAATTATTTTGCTCAACACTGTAGACTCAGCTGCAGAGATGCTAACCCCCTGATACACCGAGCAGATGAGATCCAATTAAATTATTCCGCTGCTTAATATCAATGTTCTGCCAAAAGTTCGTATTCTGCCATTTGCAATCATTTTCACTTCATTTTCACCAGCTGGGGATAATGAATTGGGTTATAAAGTTATATATTCTTCCTCCAAGGGACTCCTCTCCTGGGAAGGATGGCAGTTTAAATGAACTGGTAATTTGCAAGTCGTACAAACGTAATTATTTCCACAGTTTAGAAATGTTTGAGCATTTCACAAGCAAATGATTCTGAAAATGCCAACAAGTAATATATTACCGGCCGGGTTTTAGAAGGGAGGATCCGAACTGCCAAATATAATTTCCGAGGGCTCTGTGAGTTTTAATAATTTATGTCTGCCAGGCCTTATCTCTGATAATGTTACAGTTTTATTACAGTTTTGTCACATTGACTGCTTGATACTACCCTTCCCTTGACAAATTTAAAGTGCATCACCATCTTTCTAGCAGAGCTGATATTCTACGCAGCATGGCACTGAAATGATCAAGTTTGCTGGAGTTATCTATTACCGGATGGTGTAGTTAGGCAAAGGAATATGCAGTGCAAGACTCTGACCCAGGATATATTTTGTTCTTGGTACATACATGCTAAGTGTAACACTTACAGGTATCTATTACCTCTCACAGAGATCACAGTACTCCCCTGACAATGCCTTTATCTGCTTTTCCCCATGTGGAAGAAAAATATATTTGAAATATATTTTAAAAATATTATTCTCTAATATATTGACATATAATTGAAATGCTACAGTTTTGGCCACATTCAATATATTTCAAAATATATTTCAATAAATATATATATATACACTGTATGTCAGGGGCAGACTGACAACTCATGGGGCCCCCGGGCAATAGGGGATCATGGGGCCCCTGTGTCCTTGTCCAAACTCAAAAAAGCCTATGAAAGAGGTACCAGGGCATCTCATGGGGTCCCCTACTGACCCCGGGCCCTCGGGCAGTGCCTGAGTTTCCAAATGGTCAGTCTGCCCCTGCTGTATATTGAAATTAATTTTTATTACAAAATATATGACAAATATTTTTTAAAAATACATTTCAAATATACTGTATGTCTTTAAAAATACAAATCTACATTTTTGGAATGCATTTACAAATATATGTAAAAATATATATGTTAAAATGACTTTTTTATATATTAAAATATATTGACATATATTTGAAATGCTACAATCTGAAGAATATACAATCTGATGAATATATTTAAAAAATATATATTTGTAAAAATATATATTTTTTAAATATATTCTTCAGATTGTACAGTCTTCAGATTGTAGCATTTCAAATATATGTCAATATATTTGGGAAGAATATTTTTTAAATATATTTCATATATATTTTTCTTCCATGTTGATCTCTCCAAAAGAATGGCGCCATCTTTGCTCAGGCATCTTCCAGGGTTGCCATTAACCTTCTGCATTTAGATGCCAGCTCATGTAAAGTCAGGTGCCTGTGCAGTTGTTGGCTTTGTTACTGCTGGCCATTTGTCTCTAGTGGTAGAGTTGCCCATCTGATATCAGCCTTACAGGAGGAAATGATTCTTCCTGCCTGCAGCAGACTGATGACTTCTCAGTGTAGGCAAAGTCACTTAACTGGAGCTCAAGGATTTTTATTTATAAAATGTGCATATTTTTTGAAAACTAATATTGTTGCTGAATATTATGATGTGTCAAGATTTTTTTTCATGTAGTTACTAAAGGGGCCACAGTAAAGCTGAATTCCAGGTATGGATGTTTTTGCATAGTTATAATGGTTCAGCTTGAACTAATGTTAGTATGCACATTCCATACCTATAGGATCCCTGTAGAAGCAGAAAATTGCTGTAGCAGCTGCTGCTACTCCAGTGATCCTCACAGTCTTTGGGGTCCTATCAGGGGCGGACTGACAACTCATGGGGCCCCTGGGCAATAGGGATCATGGGGCCCCTGTGTCCTTGCCCAAACTCAAAAAAGCCTATGAAAAAGGTACCAGGGGCATCTCATGGGGCCCCCTACTGACCCTGGGCTCTCGGGCAGTGCCCGAGTTTCCAAATAGTCAGTCCACCCCTGTAAACTTTGAGGTTTCGCATTAAAGAAAATATGTTAGACACTGTTAGAAGGTCTCCTGAGGTTATCTTTAAAAAAACACTTCTAAACGCAAACACGCATAAACGCGGTATGCAAACGTGGCTAAACAGATGTTTTTTCGCCTATGTTTTCTAGCAGTCAGTTTCCATCATTCAGAAGTGTCCCGTGTACATAGAGCCTAAAAAGATAAAGACTGGCCAAACATACAAAAGATTTTTTTTTTTCCAACGGAGGTTTACATAGTTACATAGTTAGTCTGGCTGAAAAAAGTCCATCCAGTTCAACCACTAAAAAAAAAAAAAAAAAAAAGTTATAATCCAACACCACAGTTGATCCAGAGGAAGGCAAAAGAACCCGGCAAAGAATGATCCAATTTGCTCCTGCAGGGAAAAAAAATTCCTTCTTGATCCCCCCGAGAGGCAAACAGATATTCCCTGGATCAACTTTACCTGTAAATGTTAGTATCCAGCTATATTCTGTGTATCTAGGAAAGAATCCAGACCTTTTTTAAAGTAATATCAACAAAAATGCAGCGCTAAATAATAAAGTCTGAAAAATGTCCACTATAAGTCTAATTCATGGTGGTGATCCGTGAAGAAAAGCAGAAATGCGCACTCACCAGAAGATAGATATAAGTAAGCGGTATGCATCAAAGCCCATGGATCCTCAATCAAGGAGAAAATTGGTCTGGTCAAAATGGGTTGATCTTTCCTCAAGGATGCAGAGCTTATCCAAAACAGATCCAGGTAGCCAGAGGTCTCCTACAGCTGGATGGACGGAAGGGGTCACCTGCTTACAGGGGTCTTCCTCCTCTTGGTAAATGCCTGAATTCTTAGTAAAGGACTCTGCAAAAAGGTACTCCTCTCAGGGAGTCAGGGAAGGACGCCCATAGTGTAGTATTCACTTACTTATATCTAATATAATATATCTTATATCTGCATTTTTGTTGATATTACTCTGTTCAAGTATTTATTGGTTACTTAGAGTGCTTGCCCGCCTTTTTGGATTAGCGCTCACTCTTTTATTATATACATAGTACTTTTTTTAAAGTAAGACACTGAGCTGGCCAGAATCAATTCTTTACATACATTCTAATTTAGCAAATATCCTACTTTTCCTTCAGACCGGAGTTGTTTAAATAAACCAGCCCTTCTTTTCACACCTGCCTTTTCAAGGTTCAACCCCAATGCTTTACACATAAAGAATTTAAATTAATTAACGTCAGCTTGTCAAAACGATTTCTTTTCCTCGATAACCTGAAATAACAATTGTCCACAAACGGCAGCTGCAAATATTCTATTAAATCAACACAGGCTTCGGGAAAAGTAGAATTTCAGCTTATCTGGGAATATTAGGCAGAACATTCCTTTTATCTGACAATACAACTATTCAGAGATACCGCAGTGAATAATTTAATGAAGCCACTAGGCGATTTCTCAGATGGAAAGCTGCGGATGTGTTTACATTGCAAATTATGTATCGCTCTTCTGGCGCTCTAATAATCCGAGCGTTTCGATTTGGAGACGCTCAATGGATCATAGAGGCAGTTTTTAATAGTTTTTCCAGTGGCCATCCATTTTAATTAAAGCCACTTTGACTGTATTAAATTGGTGCTTGCATCTTAAAAGCTCAGAAAATGTAAACCAATTACAGAGCTTAGGTACAGGAGGGAGCGGAAGGTGAAATCGAAATTTGAAGAATGGTATTATTACGCCCCCAACAAAACTACTTTACAGTCGCAGGCTAATTACTACATATGCAAATACAACCAGAAAGTAAGGCAGGTGTGATTTAAATGCAGAATTACAAGTTACAGCAGGGGGTGTCAATCTAACTGGTGGGAGAGGATGGGACTTGTAGTCTTCAAGATAGAATATTCCCTTGATTTAGTGAGGATTTCTGCCATAAGGCAATCCTTGGCTTAATGGGAAGACAATTGTCAAATACACCATCCTCCACTCTACCTTTAGTTCTAAAGCCTCCTGGCATGTATGACATGTTTCCCAGGAGGGTGCAGGGGGAAGGTGGGCCGAGGACTACCCCACCCTTGTCAAGGTGAGAAATTAGGAAGTGGGAGCAGGTACCTTCGGAAAAGGTTTCTTGCTTACCCCCAAACAATTCCAAATGTGTAATAGGAAGGGAGTAGGGTTAGAATGATGTGATGTCTTAAAAGTGAGTGATAGTCCACTTTAAATTAGTTGAAAACCTTACATATACCTGCAATGATTATGCTCAATAAAGACATGGAAGCTGTATGCGACAGCCATCTTGTTAAGGTCTCAGCCATTTTGTTTTTCACAAACAATCATCTTTCTCCCCTCCTCCCTTCTCTTGAAAATGGAATTTGTGGCTGTAAGTTGTAATGAACTCCAAAAGAGATGTCTATTTTGCAAAGACACTTTGCTCTGCCCTATCGTAAAACAATAACTCAGTCCAGCCCAGGGGTGGACTGACAACTCATGGGGCCTCCGGGCAATAGGGGATCATGGGGCCCCTGTGTCCTTGCCCAAACTCAAAAAAGTCTATGAAAAAGGTACAAGGGGCATCTCATGGGGCCCCCTACTGACCCCGGGCCCTTGGCAGTGCCTGAGTTTCCAAATGGTCAGTCCGCCCCTGGTCCAGCCTTCACACATGACCTGTTATGCCATTAGAGCTCTAGGAATACAGAGCGTGCCATAAAACGTCTATTCCACAGGTAACCATTCTGCATACAATTCATAGAATTCAACAGGAACTGGGCACATTAATATTAGGTATATATTTAAATAGAGCATATCATGCCGAACCAATCAAGGTCCTACATGACTATGTTAGCACATAGAAAAGGGGAGAAAGCAGTCTCTTCCTTCTAGGGTGACAAGGGTACGCTGTGTTTGGTATCCCTGGGTTTGAAATATAATTCTGAATATTAATCTGCCAGTTGCTAGAATACCACCTGTACATACTGGAGGTTATTAATATTAGTATGAAATTGTAGTTGGGACTTGTTCATAAACTTTGTGACCTCCCAGCACCCATCCCCTAAATCGGATGATTGGTCAGTTATTCTCAGGCGACACCCCTTTAATATCATAGGAAAGGACTGACGGGTCTGGTGAAGAGAGCCCTCGTTTAAAATAAATCAAGATACATCTAATGGACTTGAGAGCCAAGGGAATCATTTTTGTTCAGACAATTGGACTCTGCTAAAATCTAGCTATCTGCTAGATATCTCCTCTGCCCTTACATTATCTAATCAAAGCAAGATCGTTGTGATCAGATGCTTTCCCAATTTACAAATGGCGCTGTTTATATCCTGCGAAACTGAAGTGATGAAATGCTCGTAGCTTCTGATTTCTTAGGCTGGTAGAGATGATTGGCACCATTCTGGTCTCCAATCAGCTCTATGGTCAGCTGGCCGAAACACCGGCTGCATTCTCAGGTTGCCCCGATGGCACGGGACTGCCCAAGAAGGCCGTGGAAGGCAGCGGGGGTGGGGGGCATCACCTCCCGCTGCTTGTAAAAGCAATCCTGCAGCTAATTAGCCACTAGGATTGCTTTTACATGAAAGCCGATCGCCGGCTGAAAAAAATGATACCAGGATAACGCCTGCAGCTGTAGGCATCATCCTGGTATAACCATTCAAATCCAGTGATGTACCAATACATCGCTGGTCCTTGTTGGTTATATATGCTATGTTCTTTTTTTTTTGTATGCAGCCTGTGGACTCAATGAAAAAAAAGAGAAGAAATCTCTGCCAGAAACAGTGTGTGGTATGCCCACCATTAGAATATACCGCCCTGCATCCACCCACTTCTAATGGTGGGCACACATTAGGTCACACTTTGCCACATGCGCCAGTTCCAAGATTGTACAAATGTCTAAATAGTGGCACGCTTGAATAAAAATTGTCCATGTATAAGTGGTACCCCATATGGAGAAATGATGACACCGAGTCCCAAACTATCTTGTCACTGCTCCCCATGTAGTCTGGGCATTTGGGGGGCTCCACGTGACTATCTTTTCCCTCGTAAATCCGAAACTTATATGTATAGCCTGTTGCCCTCTCACAGGTCTTCTACAACTTGACCCCATATCTGGCACGCTTGCTGGGGAGAAATTGTTTAAATGCAAGGCGGCCAGAAAAATTAATGAGGGACTCATCAACGCAGATGTTTTGCTGGGGAACATAGACATCTGCAAATTTTAGGTTAAGATGATTTGTGAGCGGCTGAATTTTGTGGAGCCGGTCAAATTCAGGGTCACCCCGAGGATGACAGAGTGTGTTGTTGAAATGCATAAAACACATTATACTCTCATATCTATGCCTGGTCATGGCAGCAGAAAACACGGCATATGATGAATCGGGTCTGTGGACCAATAAAACTGCAATTCATTTCCTTTAGTAATGCCCATGTTGGGGGTTAGGCCAAAAAAAAATGTGAATTCGGAAACAATAATGAGTTTCCATACGACTGGTCTGGCAAGGTTTGAATTTGGGTTGGCGGCGATAAATTGTTGTGCATATAAATTGCTTTGATCCACAATCAACGCATACAGATATTCCATGAAAAACAGCGCCAAAAATCAAGGGGAGTAATTACATTTGCTATTTCCACTTGAATTCCGGGTTGGGCAGTGAATGGGGGAAGTACGGGCGCTGCAGAATTTGTGGGCTGTAATTTGATTTTCAAGCACATCCGGAAGGATAATAGGAGCTCTATGGGCCTGTGTGCGAATTCTTGGTGGCTGCGGGACAATACTTGTGCCCGCCACCGCACCGGCTTGTACTGCACGTATGGGACTCGCCACGTCACCAAGTCATACTGCAGTGCTGGTATTATTATTATACAGGATTTGTATGGCGCCACCAGTTTGCTCAGCGCTTTACAATATAATGGGAGATAATACAGCAACAATACAGTTCAATACAAGAGGGTTAGGAGGGCCCTGATCCTGGGAGCTTACAATCTAAATGATATGTGCAGGATGTACTAGACCAC